AATCTCCAGCCTGCTTCACAGTGGAGACACTGTGCTCTTCAGTGCATTTGCCTTCTGTAACTGATTTCCTTTCTTTCCTTTCTTTTTCTTTTCTTTTTTTTTTTTTTTTTTTTTAAGCACTGCCTCTTTAAATCATCTCCTGACCTGTTTTGTGCTTTAAGTTATTCTTCTAATAATTTGGACTACTTCAATCACTTCCTTAGAGCTATTTTCTCTTACTAGCTTCCGCCCCCACCACTACTAACTAAAACCCAACCTGAAACACCTTGTTCTGTGATTATTTGATGTTGAAAAATGGAGTTATAACCTCCAGAAAATTCTGTTTCCTACCTTTATGTGAATTATTTATTCCTGATTGACATGAGAGTCACCACTGTCACAGAATTGCACCCATCCCAGCAGCATTTATCATTTTGGTGGCTTTTCAAAGACCTCTTATGGTTCAGAAACAGAACCTGTAGATCAAAGTCGACCTCTAGCACTACAGAAGTACATCATGCTTGGAAATACTTTCCTGGAAATGTTTTTTGATTTGCTCAGTTTTGTACCACTGTTTCTTACCAGGGAAGTCTGCCTCTTTGTTCATGTATAATGGCGCTCCAGCACTCAACCTTATTTCTGTTGTTCCTGAGATTCTATTCTGTTCATGTGCTACAGTTATTTTAGTTATTTCACAGTATTTCATATATCTATGTAACATTTGAAAGTGACTTCCAGCTGCAGGAGTTCCTTGAATTTATTACTCTGTTTTTTGTCCTCTCAAATATCTCTTTTTGATATGTCCCAGATTAGAAACAGTCCTTTCACTGCCTGCCACCTCTTTATTTCTTGCTCTTATCAATATGTTTACTTATTTATCCATGTTTATCCTTGTTTGTCCAGTGTTTCTTTATCCATTGCTGCTATAATTGGAGATTATAGAAGTCTAAAACTTTATTTTCAGGTACAACCATGCTTTCACATCAGTAGCAATCTTCCCCAGGCTGCTATATGTGGCATCAACCCGGTGTAGTGGAAATCTGCAATTTGTGCCAATATGAAGGACAGTCAGAGAATATTTTAGCCTTTTTTTGGTCAGGTTTATCTTCAGCCATTGTTGCATATCTTATATGTTGACTGCACCTAGCAGACATCTCTGGTTTTCTGAAACCACACTGCTGACAGGCCTGTCTGGTTTCTTTTAGTATGTCTTACAAACTTTAAGAACTAAAAGATAAAATCCAACCTAGCCTTGGCAATGAATCACTGAATGGTAGGGGTTGGAAGGGACCTCTGGAGATCATCTAGTCCAACCTCCCTGCCAAAGCAGGTTCACCTAGAGCAGGTTGCCCTGGAAAGCATCCAGGCAGGTTTTGAATATCTCCAGAGAAAGAGATTCCACAACCTCTCTGGGAAGCCTGTTCCAGTGCTGTTTTTCCCTCATCTTCAAATGGAACTTCCTGTGCCCATTGCCACTTGTTCTGTTGCTGGGCACCACTGAAAAGAGTACGGCCCCATCCTCTCTAAGCCCGCCCTTTAGATATATATAATGGTACTCTAGGTTTACCAATAAAATGAAAATATATTCTCTTTTTTTAACTGCAGATAATTCAAAGCACTCCTGAGTGCAATGAAAAAATAAGAATTCCACTGGGGACCAAGAAAAGTTAACACATAATAAATCTAGTGCTTTTCTTACCTCTTCCATAGTAGAGACATCCTAATTTTTTGTCATTTGAAGAGGAAACAATACAGTACAGAGAATTGTAAACTGCATATTATTACAGCAGATTGCTAGGTCTAGTGGTTTTATATGAGAGAAGTTCACATTCTCTTTTTTCATCTAAAAGCGGAGTACCAGGATATTAAAATAAGAAAATGGTGTCAGCATAACTTTATCCACTATATCCAGATAAGTGGCAAATATAATTAAAAAAACCCCTCATTTATATGCAAAACCATTTTGTTTCACTCTTGTGTATTCATTCCCTTTATGTTCAGACCAAAAAAATTAATAATAATGAATAATTACTTGTTGAATGCTAAAGCAGGGAATAGCTCATATAGTCCTTCAGGTTTATTTCAGGCTAAGGTTTATGAGATTTAAGCCATACAATTTTCATACCTCCTGTGCGATTTGAAAACATATCCATCTGAAGATATTTGTGTCTGGCACTGAAATGAAAAAGTCATTCCATTTATTACAAATTATTTTGTATAACAGCCATGAGAATATTTAATTAAGATTTTAAT